CAAGTCACCAGGTCTGATTATGCTGTGAAGGAACTAGAACAATGCTATCTGCCTTGCTCGGCTCTCAGAGTTCTTAGAGGATTGAAAGAGATTGGTGTGACTGTCATGGATTCAGAGCTCTACCAGAAGTCATATCTTGGCACGACCAGCTTTCTTCTGGTTGGAATGCCACTGACCAGATTTTTCAAATTCCCAGTCATTTCCAAAAACCCAGTCAAACGTCTCCAAATTCATGTGGCAGAGGAGGGACCTTATTCTCTGAGCTTCTATAGCCTCTGTTCCTACTTGACCTCTAGCACTGAGGGCCTGTCCTAAGCCAGAGCTCTTCCTTCACTGGACTTAATTATTAGTCGTATTTATAAAATATCCACAATATATATCTTGTTTATACTCTAAGGGCTTCACTGGGGCAAATATTGGTATTGATTCACTTCTGTTATCTCCAGCATCTGTTCCAGGGCCTGGCATGTAGCAAGAACTCAACTGCTCAGTTAATCAATCACTCTTTGTCTTCAAAGGAAAGAACTGTCTGGACAAGAGGCTTGATAGTGTGAGGATGGCATTCACAGCAAATAAAACGAAACAAAAATTTTATTAATTAATAATAATGAAAAATAAAATTCTGTGCTGGTGCGAGTATGGGAAAACAGTAACTTTCATACGCTGCCAATAAGGGCACAAATGGGATAACCCTTTCCACAGCCAATGTGGCAATATCTACTAATACTATTTGCAGATTCACAAGCATCAGTCATGCAAGGAGAGGACCAAGACAGTAAGGCGCTCTGGGGGAATCTCTGGCCTGGGAAAGAAGACTCAGGTTTCTACCAAGCCACCCAGACCAACTATGGAATTATAGGCAAGTCCCTTCATGTCTCTGAACTTCAGCTTCTTTGTCTACACAGTGATAGAATCAAGGTAAGTGATTCTTGTGAATCTGTTCAGCTGGGATGTCTAAGTCAAACATAGAGCAGTAGGCATGGAAAGGGAGTCAGAGCGCTTCAGAATCTTAGATTTTAGTTAAGGGCTGACTCAAATGAATATAAAGGCCCTTAAGTTTCTACTGTTCCTAAAAATCTTCATTTTGGAAGATCTACTCCTCAGATACTCTTTTGCAGAAAGAGGAATTGGGGCTTTGGACCTCCTTCTCTTGGCTCACCACCTTGCCCCATGGTTCAAAGGATAAACAATCTTGTCTCATCCACTGGGAAGCACCAAAGATCACCTGGCTTCACTAGATGACCAGAGGTGAGGTGAGGCCCTGCCACTGCAAAGGCCTGAGAACAGCACCTTTTATTCTTTCATTGCTTTCCACCTATAGGGTTGCTAGAAAGGATACAAAACCCTGCTAACACTATGTTGGGAAACCTGTCTAAAAAGTACCCGAATAATAGAGAATCACATCTAATCTAAGTGAAATCACGATTTCTTTTAAAGTCCCTGCCAAAGTAAAATCAATAAATGCATACTAAAGATGAACTGAGCATGTTCATGAAGCTTTTCACAGTAAGTGCACTTTATAGTATCATCATTGGTCAGTGCAACAGGCTACAAATCATTACAGCCACAGAGGATGTAACAGGCACAACAACTGTGTAATCTTCCATTCTACAAATATTAGGCTCTCACAACAATCTATACTATGTTAATCTATACAGCCTCATTTGGTAATAAGATCAGGTTTGGCGCCTTTTCCTTGACCACAGTTGGCTTAGTTTACTAGTTATATAAGCACCCCTCTTAAAAAGTGTTCATCCTAGAGTCTCACCCTGGACTCTAAGGGATACCAGATCCCTTTCCTGAGTCCTTAATCTGAATGTTCACGACTGTATTCAGCAGAACATAGTCCCATGGGATGTTAATAGGTAGTGTGTCACATAAGCAGGCACACACACAAACTGGTTCCCTATTTAGAGTGACAAATGTGTGTCTTCAATGCAGAACTTGGAAGATTGTATTCTGTCAATAAATCTGTGAATCCTCCGGAGGAGCCTATGGTGTGCTAAATTCCCTAAACTTCTTTATATTTTTGAAAAGCATCATATCCCAGGCATACTGTTCAACTATCTATCCTTTTAGAATCTTCACGAAGCCCTTGACCTATGACCTCTGCTCTAGAAACCACATTGCACAATATGACTGCCCTCTCTCATTTAGCCTCCATCAGATTAAGAGCATACCTAATGATTGCAAAAGCCTTTGATACTTGATACTAAGTACCCAGTGCTTTTAAACCCATTCAGATATTTGCTGGAAATGAACCAAAGACGTACCTACAGTGTAGTGACCAATATACAGCTACCTGACAGCAGGGCTTGGAGAACTCCTGCATGGAATAAGTAGCACTGAAACCCTTCAATTTTAAACAATAACAACCTTGCCATTCCCACCTGGCCCCAGGCTAGTGCTGCCCAGAGTAAGTTAGGGGCCATTCAATAAACATGCATGGAGCTTTGAAGATCTTGGAACATGAAGGAGGTCCTAGCATCCCTTATCCTTCCACCTCTTATTAGGGCTTCTTATCAGGTTGGGGTTCAGCTTATTGCAGTTGCCTGGCTCTGAACACAATCTGTCCTCTCACCATCATCCCTGCTTTACTTCCTCCCAGAGCTGCTGAAGAATAAAATCCATCCCTCAATTCACCACCAACTCCAAACATTTTCCCTGACTCATCTCAGGCTGGGTGAGATCATGACTTCTGGAACTGAATTTAAAATTTAAGACTGGGGGCGCCTGGGTGGCTCAGTCCATCAGGCATCTGCCTTCAGCTCTGGTTGTGGTCCCACAGTCCTGGGAGACCCGTGTTGGGCTCCCTGCTCAGTGGAGAGCCTGCTTCTCCCTCTGCCTGCTCCTTTCCCTGTTTGTGCTTTTTTTTTTTTTTCTCTCTCTCACTCTCCCTCTATCTCAAATAAATAAATAAAATCTTTAAAAAAATTAAGATAGAAGAGTGCCTTTATGAAGAGGCAGAGGAGTAAACAACATTCTGAAACTTCGGAGATCCTGGCAAAACTCCTTTATCCCAGTACCTTATGTGAGCACATGAGTTCAAATAACTTTCAGTACCTGAGTTTTCCCCACTTCTGCAATCTGAGAGGTACTATTTTAATTTTTTTTATAAGAATGTATTCATGAATTATTTGTAAACTTAAAAATGAACAAAATGAGAGGGGCAACATTAACCTATGTTATGCTATAAAACAATGGTCTTTTAATGAATATGAAATCACAGGAAAGTACTTATAATTAAGCTGAGGGAATAATAGCATTCAAAGACTACAACAGGATGTTGCTAAGTAAAAGCTGTCTCTGAAGGAAAGGTATGGTTTCTCTTTTTTTTTCCAAAGCAGAATTTGTCCTTATAGACTGAAATATGAGAGAATAAAAAGGAATACTGAGGAGGGAAATGCAGTTTTCCCACAGCTCTGAGGTTTTTATACAAACAGTGTCTCTTTTTATGGGGTTACAGTCCCACCTATTTTACTTTCTAGGCCTTGTTTCCCACATGTAACCTGGAGAAGGTTGGACAAATAAACACTAGAGTTCTTTTAATTTCTAAAATCTGAAAGTCTTGCATCTAAACAGAAGTTACAATGTGAACATATTTAAGGCCCATGTTCACACATGGCAATGTGTTCCATTAAATGAAACATGAAGTAGTGAGGCAGGCCTGGAGGGTGAGAGTGGGAAGGACACCTATGTAATTTATTAAAATAAAGGAAACCTCAAGCCTCATCTTGTGATTTAAAGAGGAAGTTAATCATGACCATTTTGCATTTAACTTATTATCTTGGCCATAGCTTGGCTATATTTTAAATATAAACTATTGTTAATGGAGATGAAGAAACAGAGTAGCCATTTTCAAAGAAACTGTTAATCTGGAAAGAAATGATGTGCTGTTGTTCCTGTTTCCAACAAAATCATTCTGTCACACAAATTATAGCACCTTAAAAAACAACAACAACAACAAAAAACAGAGCCCAAACAACAGAAGGAAGTATGAGTTCACAGGTCTGGAGAAGTGAACGGAGGTTTCTTCACCACCTATGGCTCTCTGGTACTATTAACATTTAATAGAATCACTTATTAATCCATGTTCCCATTTCTTTTACAATAACTGAAAGCCAGCAACTCTAATGGCCAAGGAAAATAGATAAATTTAAAATGAAAAGTATACTATCTACTCTTGCATAATATGAATTTAAATGAAAACAGCTTGAACTAGGATTATTTCTTCTAGAACCAGTCACACCTCCCCTCCTAAAACCCACCCTAAAACAGAAGAACACGTAGGCACCCCAACCACACACATATTATTTTCTTTAAAAAGGTAACTTGGGCTCTGTCGAGGCTAATAAACAGAAATAGATTACTCCTGGCCAACAGCTCAAACCGTTCATTAGCATAAAATTGAAGATACGAAAATGTTTTTGGAATTAGTGTACAGGCAGACACACCCTGTTTACTTGAAAACTTAAACCTTAACAACAGCTTCTACACAGATAGCCTCTGTATCAGAAGCCCTGGAACTCTCCAATGACAATTTATCTTCTATTGTTTTTTTGTCTTTAAATGCAAATGGTATATAATTGAGCCTCAATGGAAAAAAAAAATCAAGAAATGAGGAACCTGAATTCTTTTGGATTCTAAAACCAGGGATAATATTGAAGGGAATGCAAATAAGTTTTAAACATCCTTAAAATCCAGAAGTAAATGCAGCATCAGCTTATTCTTTGGCATTTAGCCAAGAAAGCCAAACTAACAATGTAGCAAGAGAATAATCAGAGAAAGAATACACTCTTCCACCATGCCACAGACAGGGCACAGACACAAAATTATGACCTGGAAACAAAATTAATACGACCTGGAAACAAAATTAATATGGCCACAGGTACATAGCATTAACAGGGGCACACTAATGTCAGAGAGAACATGGTTGCCTTTGCTAATGTTTTACGCACTCCCAGGGAATACAAAGACACATGCACGTAGCTCTCCCTTACCTCCAAAAGAGGCCTGGCACTATCATGGACAGACAGAATATGTGTCACCTTGTTCTTACTCAGTTGCTCTGCATCTCTGGCGTCTGTTATAGAAGAAAGAAGATGATCATTTTATTCTTCACTGCAAGTGAATAATTTACAATGTTTAGCTAGGAAAAAATACAAAATGCCTTGCATATTTTTTTTTTTTTGCCTTGCATATTTCTTTCTTGAAACCTCAAAACTGACCATACCCAGAAAAACCTAGACCTAGGGAATTTCAGACTATTGCTTTAATGTATTACGCAGATAACTAAATTTATTTCCGATTGTCAGATTTTTTGGATATGAAGTGGTCCACTTAAAACTTTAAATGTATTTAGATTAATAAACATTATAATCATGATTGTTGCTCTTTAAAGAAAGTGAACCTATAAGGTCATTTTGTAGTTGTCATTTGTTATTAATGATCAATAATTTAAGTTAAAATCACATACAAAAGACCCACTTACTATCCACCCTCATGTCAAAGGCAGGGATGGGCTTAAACGCAGATTAGACTGTGGTTTATAACATCTATGATTCACTTCAAGGCAAAAATAAAAATGGAACATTTTCTGGAAATCCCAAACGGAATAAGTTATCAGTTAGCTATTTAATTATCTGCATATAAAACTAAGGAGACACCAAAATTTACATTCCCTTCTAGTGCTCCTACCTAATGCTGCATGAGAAAGACTGAATAAGTATCTTCAACTTGAAACCCTTCTGTTAATCTACAAAACAGGAGTCCAGCAAAAAAAGGCTCCCTGCATGCCCTTGTCCTAATCTGGGACAAACTTTTTTAAATGATACAGGGTAAAATGGACTGACTGAAATATTTATTTATCATGTTTCTAGAGAATATTAATGACATGGGAAAATGCTTAGGATATAATGTTAAGCAGGGTGTAAAAGCATGAATCAAACTATAAATACAATATGAACTCAATTTGTAAAAACATAATAAAGACAAACACACATACAGAGGAAATACTGCTATAGGGAATTAGCTCCAATAGTGATAATCTTAAAAAGATGGAATTACAAGAGCTTTAAAAATTTTTAAATATATATATATATGTAACACAAGAGGTTCTGAAAGTTTAACATGCCTATGAACTAAGTTGAAGCTCCAACTTAGTTCAAGATCTATGGCAAGGCAAGGAATCTGCAGTTGTTGTTGTTGTTGTTTAAATATTGTTTACGGGGCGCCTGGGTGGCTCAGTGGGTTAATCCTCTGTCTTCGACTCAGGTCATGATCTCGAGGTCCTGGGATCGAGCCCCGCATCGGTCTCTCCGCTGGGCGGGGAGCCTGCTTCTGCCTCTCTCTCTGCCTGCCTCTCTGCCTACTTGTAATCTCTCTCTCTGTGTCAAGTAAATAAAATCTTAAAAATAAATAAATAAATAAATAAAATATTGTTTATTTGTTTATTTATTTACTTAGGAAGGGGGAGAGGAAGATAAGCAGACTCTCTGTTGAGCACAAAGCCAGATGATCCTGGGGTAGATCTCATGACCCTAAGAGGAATCTACGGTTTTGAGAAGCTTTGATGATCATCCAAAGACTGAAAAACTTTCCTAAATGTTCTGCAATAAACATGTACCACTGTAAACTCAGAAAAAAAGTCTTTAAAAGTAATATTAAAATGTTGGTTTTAAGACCTTCTTCACAGTTCCAACCATCCCAAGCTTTAAATTGGGATGTGCTTAGCAGCCATCGACGTAACACGTATAGGACTCAATTCCAAACACCGCCCAGCCCCCCTCTGCCCCACAACTATCACAAGTTTTGGCATCAGTAAGTTGGAACTGAACAGGAACAAGAATCACTTAGGATCCCACTGGCAGCCAGCTTCCACATTCTCACCGAAAGGCAGTTTTCCCAATTCCCACCAGTATGTATGTTTTAGCCAAGTGGAGAAGCAAGATCAAGCTGGAGCTTTCAGTGTTCACAGTGGAGTGCAGATGAGCTATAGCAGTAAATGGTTCAAGGAGGAGCAGCAAGTCGAGGGCTCCAAACCAGTCTCCTGACACTCCAGGGCAGAATCTTCTGGATTCTGACCCTGCCCAAGATTTGAATTTTAAAGATCTGTTTAAAGAGGGAGTCCTGCGCGCTGGGTGGCTCAGTGGGTTAAGCCTCTGCCTTTGGCTCAGGTCATTATCCCACAGACCTGGGATCAAGCCCCACATCGGGCTCTCTATTCGGCAGGGAGCCTGCTTCCTCTCTCTCTCTCTGCCTGCCTCTATGCCTACTTGTGATCTCTGTCAAATAAATAAATAAAATCTATAAATAAATAAATAAATAGGGACTCCTGGGTGGCTCAGTCGGTTAAGTGTCTGCCTTCTGTTCAGGTCATGATCCCGGGGTCCTGAGATTGAGTCCAGCATTGGACTCCTTGCTCAGTGGGGAGACTACTTCTCCCTCTGCTCTGCCACTTCCCCTGCTTATGCTCCCTCTCTCACAAATAAATAAATAAAATCTTTAAAAAATAAAAAGACCTGGGGGGCGCCTGGGTGACTCAGTGGGTTAAGCCTCTGCCTTTGGCTCGGGTCGTGATCCCAGGGTCCTGGGATTGAGGCCCCCATCAGGCTCTCTGCTCGACAGGGAGCCTGCTTCCCCCTCTCTCTCTGCCTGCCTCTCTGCCTACCTGTGATCTCTCCCTCTTTGTCAAATAAATAAATAAAATTAAAAAAATAGATCTGTTTTAAATATACTTTTTCCTTTTTTATAAACAGCTTTGAGATAATTTACATACCATAAATTCAGCCTTTTAAAGTGTATGATTCAACTTTTTTTAGTATATTCAGAGTTGTTTAACCATCACTGCACTCGAACTTTAAAACATTTTCAGCACCTCATAAATATACTTTTATAACACAGATTAAAAATTAAAAAAAGTGGTTTGGTAATAAAAGTATACATTTTTGAATATGGAATGAGATCATAAATGAGACAACAGACTGTAGGGTTCCAAAGAAAACAGAAGCAACTCTTGGACAATGTTCCTTTTGCTCTATGCTCCTTTCTATTTTATCACAGTGCTGTGTGTACTGATATGCCACTCTGGGATTACCCTATCCCATAAGCATGGTATCTAACTACTTGAGCATACATAAAGCACTTAGTCAACATTTTGAGATGATGCCATTGGACTTCTTATTCTTTAGGACTACAAATTATTGACAGTTCTGGATGACTGCCTATAACCACCAGCACTAAGGCAACAAGCTGTGAATGCAGCTGTAAGACATGGGGTTATCAGCTTACTCACATGCATGTGAACAAGCCTGGAGGTTTCACACCAGCTCTCTTTGTGCACAAAATCAAAGGGGTGGAACTTAGTCCTTTGCTGCTCAAACCAGGGTCTGCCAAGCAGCATCATGGCATTACCCAGGAGCCTACTGGAAATGCAGACTCCCAGACCCCCTACATATCTACATGATCAGAACCCACATTTAAAAAAGAACCCCAGAAGACTATGTGCACTGTACACATGGAGCTCTGCAGGGCCTTCAGGGCATGAACTATGACTGGGTGCCAATGGTGCCCCTTCCCCACCATGGCATTTTGATGCCACTTCTAAGTCAAAAAACAACTCACAGCCTCTTGCAATTACAAATGCAATATTACTAATGCAACACTATTAACAAACAAACAAGAAGATTACAAATTAGAATTCACATGGAAAAAATCTAGAAGAATATACACTGGCCATGGTTATATTGGGATGTCAGTTTGGGGAAGTTTTCACTCTATTTAACATATTTCTATCACATTTGGATTTTTAAAATTTTCATTTTATTTTAACTGATGAGCCTACATTCCTTTCATAACCAGGAAAAGAAAAATAAAAAAAAAACACTATAAAACTCAACTGAATTACACTAATAAGTAAAATATTCAACTCCTTCATCGGTAAAACAGCTAACTGTACTCTTTTCTCTTTCCACCAACATTTCCTCTGGCCCCTGGACTCCTGCCCTCTCTTGCTGCCTGCCTCTGTCTACTCTCTGCCTCACGTGCCCTTTAGAAGAAGCAAATGTCATTTTTATACAGTGGGAACACTGAAATAGAAACACCTACCTGAACTTTCTCCTTTGTTGTGACATGTTCCCTTCGTGGAAGACCCCATCCATCACTGATAGGACCTTGCTAAGAGAGCAAGTGGATTCCTGGAAGATACTGTCTTCAAAAGGCAAAGTGGCAGCCACATGCTTCCTTAGGAAGGGGAATTAGTGCTCTAGATCTTATTCTGATACAGAAGATGTACAGGGGTAACCAGTGCTAAGATGTGCAAAATGCCAGAGTGGCCATGGCAAATATGCTAGTCCAACAAAGTCAAGCAGAATTGTTTCTAAACAAAATTAACAGAAGTGTATTTGAAGAAACACTAGAAAACAGTGCCATCAATATAAGCACTCTGAAAAAAACAGATATTTGGAAGGAAAGAACTTCTTTGGTAATGCCTTTCCAATATCACAGCACCTTGTTACACTGATTTGTGGACTCAAAAGCATGATCATGCAGGATGAGAGAGGGAGGAAAGAGGAGAAGGAAGGTCTCTATTTTAAAAGGACCTAATTCTCTCTGTTCTGACCCTGAACCCCAAGCCATGTTCTGAGTCTTTTCTCAAAAAACTTTTGCTTCCCAAATTGAGAATCTGCTCAGTGGTAGGTAAGTGATTCTGATCTGTTTTTCAATTATGCTTGATCCCACTGTGAAATTAATGAATCCTAGAGTTACCAATTATTGTACATAACTATAACTTCTAGAATTGTAAATTAGCTGTTAGTGTGTTCAACCTTTAGGTGGGTATATTTCCAACCTGGGATAGGGGCCAAAATGGGCAGCTCCTACCTGTTTCCTTCTGTACGAAATGGTGGGCTCTGATATTTATTGGTGCCAACCTTGGACAAGTTTTTCTGTGCCTCACTCTTCTCACCTTTAATGTGGGAAAATGGTAAGAGTACCATCTTAAAGGGCTAGTACTAGCCCTTAGTACCATCTTAAAGGGCTAATACTGGAAATACTAAATGAAATAAAATGCTTACAATAGTGCTTGGCTCACGTGTAGTAAATGTTATCATTGCCATCATTAATATTATTATCATTGGGACCAGATTAAGTCTCAATGCTGCAGTATGGGCTTCAATCTCCATCACCTCTGCATGTTTCCAAATATGTGCTTACTACAAAGACATCTGAATTCTAGCTCTTGTTCCACCACCTAATGTTCACCATTCACCATGCAGTTCTCTTGGGCAAAGTTAACAGCAGACTACCAGAGATCCGTGTTCAGTAGTTCACCAGGTCAGTCTTATCTTAACAACTGGGGAACCACCACTGGGAACCATGACCATTGTCACTGGCAGACAGAACAAAAACTCTGAGACCTCAAACATGTCTCTATGTATATAACCAGTACACACACATGGTGTGAGATTTGTTTCTCACATTTCTAGAATTTGTGGACATCTTCAATGAGGGCTTCTTCCGTCAGCTCACATCCATTTTGGGATCTGCCAAGTTATGAAACAGCAGATAACTGACCCCTCTTGGTCTGGGATGGAGCTGCTCTTCAAGCTTCCACTCCCACCTTCCCTTCTGGCTTCCGGGCAGAGCCAGCTGCAAGTTAAGGCACCTCAACTGAGAGACTCGTCAAAGACTAGACTCCAGAACCTGAGTTGGTTTGTGAGTTTTTCTCTAGGTGGAAGAATCACCAGGACCTGGTGTTGGAAAGTGTTTTGTGATTCATTGCAAGTTAAAAAAAAAAAAAAAAAAAAAGGAAGTTGCATAGTGACATGTAAAGGATCCACACTGGAAGGAAGGAAGGCAGGGAGGGAGAGAAGAGAGGCAAAAGAGGAGGAGAGAGAGGTGGGGGAGGGGAGGAAGGAGATAGGACTGGAGACTACTCAATGATTGGATTGAGACCACTCAATGATTGGATTGAGACCATATCCACTAGAACCAAGGCCTTGGTAACAGTGCCAGTCCACACCATACAAAAATGAAGATCTCTCAGAAAGTTTAAAAAAATCCATTAATTTTTCTTTATACATTTTTGTACTGGTTATTGTGTTGCAATAGGCACATATTGTTTGTAATTGAAAAAGAAAAGAAAATTACTAAATGAGACATCGTGCTAAAGCACATATGACAGCTGGATTCACTTTCCAGGAGCAGTCATGATCCTTTCACCTCAGTCTTCCATACTTGCTAGCTAATGATGATCAGCACCTACTGCATACCCAGTATGGCATGGGCGCTGTGAGTATCTAGCTCTCTTCCACAACAGCCTGAAGTAGGTGTGTGATTCCTAGTTCACAGATAGAGAGGGTGAGAGGGTGAGGAGAGCCAGACACTGGTTGACCCGTCATGTGCCAGACACTGAACTGAGTGCACTGGCTACCCTGTCCGGTTCATCCTCACCACAGCCCCCTCATGTCCAGGCTGTTACCCTGTCTAAGGGTAACATATGGCTCATGGACAGTGGGGGATTACCAGATTCCAAGGCAGACTGCCTCACAGCTTCTCTTCACAGTAAGACCTGCTCCCCTGTTCTGTTCCTGCTCTTCCTGACTCCGAACCACAGAAAACCGAAATGTATATCCACATCATACTCCCAGCACATTGCAACAACTTTCTGGAATGAATGAGTTAATTCACAGGCAACTCTATGGAGAGCAATGCTTCTTTCCAGCTTCTTGTCAATTCACTACACTATTATTCCTTTGCTTTAAATAAGCCTTCCACCTGGTTAGTGGTTAATAAATGTTTGGTGAATTGATGAGTGAATAAAACACGGCCAGATATAAGTCAGAATAACTGAAGATGACAAAAAAAAATTAAGCATCTGAACAAGAAGAGGTATGGGATAGTGTAGCCCTCTCTAACAGGTAAAACCCACAGCAAGAATCCAGAAACGTGAAGGATTCCCATGTCATTGAATACTTTGAAAATAGCTATAGATTTTTTAAACTTATTTTTTTTCACCATAGCACATACCCTCCCCAATGAAGATAGATATAGATTTTATTTATTTTTATTTTTTATTTTTGGATAGGTATAGATTTTAGTACAAAGAGATTTAAAATGTGCCTTAAAATTGTGCACACATGACTTTCTAGAAGAAAGTAACCTACTATGAATAAGGATAAAATTCTCATAAACTGTTGGTAGAAGTACTGAATTTGGTTGGTATGCATTACAATTTTTTATTTGTAAACACTTTCATGTAGCAATTCTATTTCTAGGAATTTATCCTAAACTCTGTTCTCAAACATAAAGACATTCTCCTGTCTTCATTAAAGCATTTAATAACTCCCTATAAAACCCCCAAAGATAGTTGCTCCTTAATGCAGTCCAGAGCTACTGCCTACCTACCACAAAGCACTTGTTGCTTTTTCAGAACTATAAAGCTTACTAATTTAGGAACTCTAGTACTATTTTTAAAATGTTCTAGCAGCAATTAGCAGCTGTCAGCTCCCTATGCTCAATTCTCTCTGAGGCCAATTAACAGAACTAGGAGCAAAAGGCAGTTAGGGGAAGAGAGGAGGAGGAAATAAACATTGTCCTGGGGCATTTTTGTTAATCAATGGGTATAGAACCTGAAATTTTCTGGGCTGTTCCTATGTATGTCTTATTAGTTTCTCATACTCTATTTTAGCACAATTTACTTTACAAAGGTGTCCCTTTTTTGAGGGTTCTGAGAAGTAAACATAGCATGCTATAGTATTTTTTTTTTTTTTTACCAGTTCAGAATTGTTTGGGGGAAGAAAACCTGACACAGAGCCACAGGAAAATAGATATACAGTGGTGGGATCTCACAGTTGAATGATTTGTAGATACAGTCATCATCTGACTATGAAAGATGCTCCTTTGTGCATATTTTAGTAATTATCTAAATGGCTAATTTACTATGACATTAAAGTAATTTAAAACATATTGGGAAGAAAGAGACTGTTTTTAGTCAGTTTGAACCTGAACTCAATTTTAAGGAGCTACCTGCAAACAGACAGAGTGTGTTCTTTCTTGTTCTAGGAGGGAGGAACTTCAGATGCTTATGAGAATGGTTGGCTGTCACCAGCCTTGCAGCCTTACAAGTTTCCTAAGTCTATCCCATCCTGTTAAGTATACACACCTCCATTAGTTGAGAGGTTAGGCACAAGTATAAGGGCCCAGCAAGAGGCGTGGACAAAAGTGGTGGCTATGTCCAGATTAGACTTTGCATAAACTGAGTCAATACCTTGACTCAAATCATGCTTGATTCCACCCTTGGTGGAAGTAAGTGCAAAATGTCCATCAGCAGATGAAGGGAAAAATTATATATATATCGTTAAAGAGGAAATACATTCTGACCCATACTACCATATGAATCAACTTTATGATCAGTGAAATCAGCCAAATGCAAGACCACTCATGTGAAGTACCTAAGCAGTCAAATCCACAGAAACAGAAAATGGAATGGTGTTTCTAGGGACTGGGGGAAAGGGAATAGTGTTTAATGGGCACAGAGTTTCAGTTTGGAATGACAAAAGAGTTCTAGAGATGGATGGTTGCAGAGCAATGTGAATGTACTTAATGCTACCTGAAGTGTACACTTAAAAATGGCATAAATGGCACATTTTATATTACGCTTATTTTACCACAGTAATAAGAAAGACAACTCACCTTTGAAGTTGCCAATGTATAGGCCAGGCAGGATCTAGAAGAGACACAGATCAGATGTCAGTGTAACAGACCTGAAACTGACAGGGTTTTGTACACATAGGCCCTCACCAGAGCAGTGGGAGGACATCCCAGGACTGCTGCCTGCCACACCCACTTCTCAGCACCTTCCCAGATAGCTAACAGGACCCAGCGTCCTTGTCTCCAGGACTTTGGCCTGCCCATGGCCACTAGGAAGCCTGCTCAAATAGCATGTGAATGGTTACACATTGGTGCCCATGAACTCATGGGACTTTGAAGACCAGAATTCCCCAAAAGATCTACATGTAAGCCCTTCAGTGCTCCTTGGCATTCTGAGAGTCTAGTCTGAAACCCAAGGGCCTCCAGCCCTCCACATCTCTTGCCTACCCTTCCCCTTTGACTCCACCTTTTCTCACGTCAGCATCCACCACTTAACCCACAACTCCAGCAAACCTCCCTTTGCTGAGGCCTTTATGCATGCTGTTCCCATGTCCAGTAGCTATGTTCCTACTCTTCTCTCAACCTTCAGGTCCTAGATCTGACTCACACCCTGAAGAGGCCTGTCCTGAGCCCAGGCTCTGCGGTAGACGCTGGCTTCAGCACCCACAGTCCTCAGTACTCCCCTTGCAGAGATATGTCACAGGGGTATTGCTAGGTGAAGCTCTGTCTCCTCTGCTACAATGGACAGCTGTTTGGACAGCAAACACATCCTGTCGCTTGCTGCTGTATACCTAGCTCCTGACCCAGGGCTTTGCTCATGATTAGTATTCAATAAAGAATTACTAAATGAATGAGTGAACTGCCCAAATGCACAAGTTAATAAGAACATAAAATTTGCTTCAAAATGTCTACTTTTCCTGAGGCAGTGGTTCTCAAGTCAATCCATCAGAATCACCAGAAGCTGTTAAAAATTCAGATTTCTGGGGAGCCCGGGTGGCTCAGTGGGTTAAAGCCTCTGCCTTCAGCTCAGGTCATGATCCCAAGGTCCTGGGATCAAGCCCCACATCGGGCTCTCTGCTCAGTAGGGAGCCTACTTCCCCTCCTCTCTCTCTGCCTGCCTCTCTGCCTACTTGTAATCTCTGTCTGTGAAATAAATAAATAAAATCTTTTAAAAAAATTCAGATTTCTGGGGCACCTGGGTGGCTCAGTGGGTTAAACCTCTGCCTTCGGCTCAGGTCACGGTCTCAGGGTCCTGGGATCGAGTCCCACATCAGGCTCTCTGCTCAGTGGGGAGCCTGCTTCCCTCTCTCTCTCTCTGCCTGCTGCTCTGCCTACTTGTGATCTCTCTCTCTCTTTGTCAAATAAATAAGTAAAATCTTAAAAAAAAAATTCAGATTTCTGAATAAGCTCTAGCCCCAGCTCCCATATAGAATGATTTAGTAGATCTGAGATAAGAACAAGGGGCTGGGTTTTTCACAACAACCCCCCCCTTTGCAAAATACAAAGCTAATTCTTGTCCTGCGACTAATTTGTATGACAGGTCTTAAATTCAAATACAGACACTGCTTTGGAAGTTACATCACCTGACACGATTTCCAAGTGCATAGAGCATACTGCCACTGCAGACCCCTGGTGACCTGGTGACACCCTCCTGTCAGCACTACCATCCCACATCCCCACTCAGCTTCATCTGCTTCACACTCCCTATTTTTTATTCACTTCCACCAAGAAAGCTGAAAGCAGCATGTTATAATATTCTTCACGTGTGCAGATTTCTTAGAGCATCTTCCTGACAAACAGCTTCTGTGCTAAAAATTAATGGCATCTGTGCAAGTCACCATAGGGGGAATGCACTGTGGCACTATCCAGGCAGTCTGATGGAGCTCAGTAATACTAGGTCTAGGGAAGGTTGCCAAGCCGAGGGACAACAGAATATAGTGACCAAAAGGGGACACTTGTGAGAAGGAAAAGAGACTCTGTTAATAATTACAGTTGACCCTTGAACAATGAGGGGTGGGACATCAACTCCCCACATAAGCTGAGAATCCATGAATAACTTCTGACTTCCCAAAAACTTAACTACTAATCACCTACTGTTGACTGGGAGTCTTAGCAATAAACAGCCTATTAATGCATATTTTGCATGTTATATGTATTACATACTATATTCTTACAATAAAATAAGCTAAAGGAAAGTAAATGTTATTAAGAAAATAACAAGGAAAAGGAAATATATTTACGGTATTGTAAAAAAGTCCTTGAGTAAGTGGACCTGCTGCGTAGTTCAAACCTGTGTTGTTCAAGGGTCAACTGTTCTCCTGGAAAACAGGCAAGGCCCAGAAGTGAGCCAGGTCACGGAGATGTGTGATCACCCTGGCTCACGGAATACTCAGGGAGGCAAAATTAGTTTGGAGTGCCCCATGTGACTGATTAGTCAGTTATATCCATGACTGAAGTCATAGCACTGAGGCAAGCTGGTTTAGGTCTGTAACTAGGAACATGTGAAACAGTATCTCAGAGGAAAACACCAGCATCCACTGCCAAGGAGCAAAAACATTTGACAGGTCTTTCTTGAAACAGAATCAGTCTTTGAGATCCTCCTGTGAGGAAGGGTGGAATAAATACTGTATTGTTCCTGTCTTAAAATATAAAAACAATACAAGTCCATCTTGGAGATGGATCAAACTGATATTCTCTGGCAGCTCTTGGCTGCATAGACTATGCTTTTTCAATGTGTAATCTCCCATTCTCCAGGGTCTCTCCTGTCTTTATTAGGAGGCGACATTATATACTAAAGGGCATAGTCATCACATGGCTCTCTTAGCTGACAGTAACAGCAACTTCCTCCTTAACCAAACTTTAGTCAGGCTCCTTTGAGCCTTCTTCTTGACTAGGCCTCACCTGTGGCCTGCCAGTTTTAGCAAAGAATCCTGCTAAGCCAGTTTATCAAGAATCCTCCCAATCTTGATATCCAATCAAGCTCATCTTCTCTACCCTTGATATTTAATCAAATTCTTTTCAATAATTTTCCATCTTTCCCTCACCTTGCCTGTTGCCTATAAATCCCCATTTGCTCCTATTGTATTAAGAGTCGAATTTGGGACGCCTGGGTGGCTCAGTTGGTTAAGCGGCTGCCTTGGGCTCAGGTCATGATCCCAGCGTCCTGGGATCGAGTCCCATATCGGACTCCTTGCTCGGCAGGGAACCTGCTTCTCCCTCTGTCTCTGCCTGCCTCTCTGCCTACTTGTGATCTCTCTCTCTCTCTCTCTGACAAATAAATAAGTAAAATCTTAAAAAAAAAAAAGAGTTGAATTCTCTCACTTGCAATAGTATCTCTACGTATTGCACTAGCCTCAAACAAAGGCTTCCTTGCCATTTTTAGTAAGAATAATTTTTCTTTTATAACATTGACCACAAATAGCTCCAGATTCATAAAACTGACAGTTATAATGAACCATAACATGAGCATGTATATTTGCCCCAAATCACAGAATGTACAACAGTAGATGAATGGTTTACTGATTCCTGTCACAGGTGGACTTCATGCTGGACACTCAGGATACAGGTGTGATGGGGAGAGATAGGGCCCTGCCAGAGGCATACTACTTCCCAAGGATTTTCAGGAGGAAGGAACACTTAGGGGACCTGCAGTTCAAGAGCAGTGGGTCAGGAGAGAGGGAAGGACAGGCAGGGGAGCAATGGAAACCACCAGTGCAGAGAAAGGCGGCTAATCTCTACCAGGAGAGAGCATGAGGGAGGCAGAGACACAGCAGAGAAGAACAGGACCAGGCTGTGGACCAGGCTGCATGCAGCAGACACAGGCAACCATGGAAGGCTTTCAGGGCTCTAGATAAAGTACCACTAAGATGATTAAGATGTGTGGGACCATTAGAAAGATATTTTCATGTATTTTTATTTAACATATCTTGGAAATGTCATGATAAAAATAGAGGAAAGGTAAAGTTGTGTATGCAGTCAATGTCTTCATTATCATATTACCTCTGTAAGGGGAACACTGGGGGCTGGTGGGGAGGGTCCAAGAAGGGCCATTTCTGTCTTTATCTTTGAACTTTTCTATATGGTTTCGATGTTCTAATTGTGTGCATGCTTTACTTCAATTTACTTTTTTCCTTTTTAAGTCAAGAGGGGTTATTTAGGGAAAAGATTATGGCCCAGTTTTGCTTTTCTTTTTTGTACTTCTACTGTTTTCTCTACCAAAATAAACTAATACACTTCATATTATTTTTTAAATAAAATAAAGCAAGGACATGAGATTAGATCACCTCTGTGCCCCGCTGCTCTAGAGCCATGGTTTTATGATTACTAAATCCATCCTTTAGAAGCCAACTCTAGTCAAGCTTCTACTCCCTGCACTGGTATCTAAAACATAACATTATCTTTCCACTCCCATTATCAATTCCTCAAGTCTCCTGATGATGTCACCTTCTCCCAGTCCCCTAGAATGAAAATCTGGACCCCATTCCCACCATGGCACTCCCCTCCACACTCCCTTGTGCCTCTCTCTGACCCGTGAGTTACAAAGTCCTAGCACAGTCCTGGCTGCTTCTCCCGCAGTCAGAGCATGAGCTCATACATGGGCTAGAGCAGTATCCATTGAACTAGCTTCTCTGTCCCATCAAATTAATTTTGTAAGGTCATATTCTCACTGGGTCATTTTCTAGATAATGTTTAGTAGCAAACCCTTTCCAAAGAAAATGAAAGCCAAAACTGAAATTCAACTGAAAATTTCAATTTGGCTTCCACATGATGGCTCCAACTTACCCCTGAAGGATTTCCCCCATTTCTCTCCAATTTGCAGCCAAACCAAGTAACCTCCAGTTTCCCAATACCCTTTACTGGTCCTACTTTGCAATATCACACTTCTTTGCTCTCAATATTCTCTTTAAACAGAGAAGTGATCCCCACTATTTGGGGTCCCTCATCCCCCTTGGCTATACTAAAAAATTATAAACCCTATAATAGACAATTATTTCACTGGTTTCCTAGCCTCTGAAGCCCTTTCCTATGTCTGAGGAATTTCCCCGCAATTTAGAGTCTTGGTAGGAAGCAGAGCCC